AAAAGTGTACCTTACTCACAAGTGGGATGTCCTGCCATATACGAGGACATCTAGGATACGAACCCATACTTTAATACCTGTCAAGTACTTGAAGTAGAGTGGATTGCGGACTGTCGTGTGGTGGAGAATAAAAAATCTATTTTTAAATAGAGATGTATATCTGTTCATATTATTGTTTTCATACTTAAAAATGGAGGATGCTTCTTCACCGGATCCTGAAGTATTTATAAATGAACATAAGGAAAATGTTCAGTTAGGTCAAGGGGACGAAACAGATGTCTGTGGGAGGAACACTGATGACGAATATTTAATGGCAAATGAAAATCCTTTGGAAAGACATGACAGTGACGACGACGACGAAGTAGGACATAATTTCCGTCGGCGATCTGATTTATCAGTTAGCTGACGACACACATAGTGATCACAATCGCATTTCTACACTTATGATTAAACCCGAACCCTACAATGGAAAAGAAAGTTGGGAAGAATACTTTTCTCACTTTCAGGACTGTGCTGAACTAAGCCACTGGGACGACAGGACAAAACTTCTTTTTTTAGTCGCTAGCTTACGTGGACAAGCCAGGACTTTCTACATGAGCCTTACTCCTGAGGAAAGACGCACGTTTAAAATTCTTGTTCAGCGTATGGACCAGCGATTTGGAAGCTCAAAACACAAAAATAGGTGGCTTTCAAACCTGGAAATGCGTAGGCGGATGCCTGGAGAAAGTATTGCTGATGTTGGAGACGATATACGGCAGTTATCACAAAAAGCTTACAGTAACTTGGATATTGACGCTCAGGAATCGCTGGCCCTGAACCACCTTTACAAAATTATTACCGTTGAAATGAAATGTCGTTGTATTGATATGGAGTGCAGCACTGTTGCAGAAGCGGTAGACGTCATTGAGAGATACGAGTCAATAATGGGGGATGGGGATAAAAAGAGAACAAATGTTAGATATGTGGATCAAGGACAAGTAGTCAAACAGCCAACTGGAGAGCAAAAATCAAATAACTTGGAACATACAGTCAAGTTACTAATCGATATATTAGAGAAATTGGAAAGTGCACAAAGAATGCAACCTCGGAAGGGCAATAACTCTTGGACTTGCTTCATCTGCAATTCACCAGATCATCTCATGAAGGACTGCCCAGACCGATGGACAAGAGGACAACCGATGACCACGACCTCTAACCTGAATAAAAGACATGGCAGTGGAAACATGAGAGATAACATATATCATTAAGTCAGGAGTCGGCAAAAGAGGAATGTCTTTCTGTTGGAAATGAACATACTAGGACTGGCCACACAGGGGATATAACTCTCTTTCGGGACATTGGATTTTATACAAAAGGAAACATATTTGACAATAGATTTTCTAGGATAGTGGATCTACTGCATGGATTATTTCGTTCAAAATTTTACTAAACTTTCAAAAGGAAACTAGCTCTAACATACGGCCTGCAACCTCTGACATTCAGGATGTAAATGGATAATTGATGTGACTTCCTGATCCTGGGAGGAATCTACAAAAACAATGAAGAATTAGACCTGACTGATTGATTGACTGACTGATTCCCATAGGAACCTACCTTTATCAACTACATACATTCAATTCTAGCAAGATTTCCAATTTTGTACTTGCTTATGCATAGGGAGCTGTATACTTTATACTTGGGGTGGATGTTGGATTTTAAAACAGACATATTTATCCGTAGCAAAGAGACAAGAAGAGGAGGTGGAGAAAGAAGTATCAGAGAGACGAGATGGAGATAGAAGTAGCAGAGAGAGAGAGAGAGAGAGAGAGAGAGAGAGAGAGAGAGAGAGAGAGAGAGAGAGACGAGGAGGTAGAGAAAGAAGTAACTGAGAGACGAGATGAAGAGATGGAAAAAGAAGTAGCTGAAAAGACATCAGACAAGCAGGCAGATATGTGAGAATTACCGAAAGAAGCGGTCGAGTCAAGAAGGATAAAGATTTCATTGATGATGGAAGTAAGTAGCTAGCAGAACCAGATGATTCATTAAGACTGTAAATTCAGGAGAATTTGACTTTTTAAGTGGGGGGAAGTGTAATATGCATGGGGGTTGGACTTTAGAATATTGCATATTCACAGGCTGATGGTGGAGTGTTTTTAAGTGAAGTAAAGCAGCATCCAGTTGTAAATTGATAAGAAATGTTTTATTGTTCATGTTATTTCATTATCTTATTGTTTACCTGAATTATTGATGCAATAAACATTGCACTTCGACATTGTAATGTAAAAAAAATGCTGTTTTTGTGTTACTAGACGATCTAGCGAGATATTGTTGAACAGACAGTAAGGGACAGTGATACTAAGATGTTGTATGTCATTTTTTTATCATTATCTACCATATTGCAACTGTAATTTACTTACTTATTTCAGCATTATCACATGTGTTGTAAATTGGGCGCTTGCCATCTTTCTTACGAAGGAAATAGTCATGTGACATAAACATTGTCGTTTTACAATTGATAAGATCGAAATAACACTGTCCGTGTCTTCTGATATTCATAATTGATACTTAAATGTTATTTTATTGCAGTATTGTCATTTAATTATGTTTTATTTGACGAAATGTTTTGGAACTTGAATGTGTAGCGTAATACTTGTGTGTTTGCATTATTGTTTGGTATTATTACGCCATGGATTGTGTGTGTCCGTTTTATTACAGATTGTTTGTTGAACTTATTTTATTGTGTATATTGAATAGAATTTATAGCTCCCACTTTATATGTAGAGAGGACATTTTCAGCGACTTTATTTTCTTTGTGTACACATTATGCATGTAAAGTAGTTCTGAGTTGCTCCAGAAAGGACAATTATTCATTGGTTGTTTTGATCACGTGGCCATTTATAGGAGGTTATATATACAAGCAGCGAACGCCAGTTTCATCACAAAGATCGTAACGATCAGATCATATTACGTCATCAAAATCACTGACTGTAAATTACTAGCGACTTAAAGGTATAAAAAAACAATGTAAACTAATACAAATTAAGTAGCGTATAATTTCTCCACCGCACGGACACCGCAATCCACTGTATTTTATTAGACCAGAGATGTTAAGCTAGGACTTTATATACCATGTATACTCATAGATGTACTGACTGTTTTGTTATATTTCATTGAACATTGAAGTCTTTATTAAATTGAATATTTGAAACGAGAAATGGAACTTGGTTATGATTTACAAGGATGTGAAGTAAATTATTTATGGTGTTTAATTACATGCGACGGGCTGAGGATGCCCCCTCCCCTTTTTATATGTGGACGGATGTCATGAGTATTCCTGATAAAAGTTAACTGAATTTACACGGGTTGGAAATACTGTAAGCTGATTGGCATTTGACAGGGTGCTGAGGAAGCTTACACTAATATAATGACATTAATTCACAATAAAAATATGCAAACAAGTTATGTAAATACATGGATATATTATTCATTCCGTAATTCATCTATTTTATTCTTTATTGAAATAGAAACCCAAGTTTGATTTATGGCACATTTTTACTGGTTGATGGCCTTATTAGAGAAAGTCAATTTAATAACACATATTCTAAGCATCCTGCATAAACAGAGGATAAAAAGTTTATAACAAAAAAATATACAAGTTTCAAATTTGGTATATTTCTTGTCCATATTTTGAGTATTTCTCATTTCTTTAAGTTAGTAAATGAGGTATGATTCCACATTCCTAGCACTACTGGAAGCCGCACTGAGAAAATGTTTTGTTATATTGGTTAACATCTTCGTCCACACGCATAGAATAATATTTCAAGGATAGTGCTGACTTAATTGATTTGATATTCAAGTTAACATCTTTGTCCACACTGATAGAAAAAATATTTCAAGGATAGAGCTGACTTGCAATGTAATTCACTTGATATACAAGTTAACATATTTTTCCACAAGGATAGAATGATATTTCAAGGACAGAGCGTACTTAAATAACCGGAGTAACCTGGTTGATCTCTCAGATCAATGCCGTTCCTATGGCTACGGATTGCATATACATCTCTGTAAACTGATAATTAATTTAGAAAGATTTGCAGGGGTCTGCTACAATAGATCAATAAAAAACCTCTTAATTAACTTTCATATAGTAAACGTACATCATACCGGTATTCGAATAAAGATTTTTTAATTTTACAAAAAAAAAAAAAAAAATGCAATTCGCTGTTAAAAAAAGTACCCATTATGCACGTATTACTTATAGAATTAAAAGTGAAACTAATATATATCGCTTTTCCTAAAACTAATGAAGAATTATTAAGATATAATTTTTAGAGTGTCATTGAGATATGATAGTCGGTCACGTGATCAAATTCTATAACGCCCGAAGGTTTGATCACGTACCGACTTCATGTCGTATCCCATTGACACTCTAAAATGATATTTTATTTCTTATATTTATATTTTTATTTCTATTCACACTAAAACTTAGACAAAATGCTCTATTAAGATTTTGTTATTGAATGCAACAAAACGTATAAATACGCTGTTATTTGACGTCACAATCACGATTTTCAAAATGTCTCGTGCAGTTTGCTTTCCATACGCAAGAAAGTCTGATCATGTGACTGCATGTCATCGAAAATTGAATTTCACTTTTTTAGCATTTTCATATAAGGAAAGACATTAGCAAATGTAAATATATGAAGATAAATTAAAATAGCATAAAACAAATGATTGTTATTAGTTATTGCATAAATATGCTTTCAGCAATGAAGAAAAAATAATGTAGAATGTAAAAGTTTTAATTCACATTTTGTATATGATCAAATGATTGTTCAAAAGATTTAAACTAAGATATTATATATCTCAATGTTCTGCATTCACTAACATGCTTTTCTGCTGAGTAAAACATATTTTTAAAAATGAAATTGCCGAAACTTTGTACTTTCATTCTTTTTTAATCATTATCAAGGTTATCACAAATCTTTCTGCTGAAACTTTTAAAAAATAAATTAAGCTGTTCAATTTTGTATCACATCATCCTCAACAATAACTTCAACAGGGTCTGCGTAGACATTTTCACTGGTATCGCACTCATTTTGAACAATTTCAGGCACATATTGACGTCGACATATTCGGATCTCGTATATAATATAAAATATGAGCATGCATATTATACCTGTACCTATTGAAACAATTATTGCTGTCTTTGAATGGTACGCATTTGCGGAACGCAAAGTAATAAATTTGATAGTGTTACTGTTATTCAATTCAGCTGTATGACTGGGCACTGAAAAGAAGTATGATTATCTAAGACAATATTTATCACAAAATATTTTTAACTGAAATGTAAACATTTGAGTTTTTGTATTACCCGGGTTTAAACGTGCAAATAAATTTGCATCCTGATATAAGGATAATTAAATTTTCAAAAAAGAATATCTATGCATGATATATATATTACATGTAACTTTACTCTTTGCAATAAAGAATTAATAAAGCAATAAACATGATAATTACTGCCATTAAAAGAGATTATTGGTTACTGCAACTCAAATGAAATTTATACAATAAAATTAAAAATGTTAAAATAATGAAGGAGGAGTGTATAAATCCAATAAAAAGTATACATTTGAGAAGAGTGAATAAAACACGACCCCTGGAAATAAAGATGTGGGGTCAGGCACCAGAGAGACAGATGCAGACATCACCTGTCGACTTCATACTTAGTGTACTCAGTAATTCTCTGTTATCCTTGAACTTTCAGTAAGGCACGGTATTCACGAAGTTACATAATTAGAGCCTGAAATTTACACAGCCTCTTGGATAGAAATTCGAGCGAATGTCGATAAGTGTAGCAATGGTCCAATGACCACTTTTCGTACAACAACTGAAGCGATGATCCAATGGCTGCGTTTCGTACGACAAAAAGATGGGGCTTTAGTCGTCTCATCGTTGTCAACAATAGTTTTAGGTTTCTATTGTTATTAATTTCTTAAACAATTAGAATTTATTCGCCATTTTTGAAACATTAAATAAGTAAGGTCGCGAATGCCTTGCCTTACTGAAAGTCCAAGATTGACAGAGAATCGTACTATTTGACAACGAATCTGATTAATAAAAATATCGTATCATGCATATCAATATTCATCTATTTTTTCTTTATACACCATTAGAGTGCAGCACAGTTTGCGGTTCCAGGAAATCGCTTGAAGTTTGATTCTTGATGATGTCTAGCAAAAACACTTATCAACGGAGAGCTCTCAATTTTAAACGGAAAATTAACACACAAATATGCGAGTTTTTATTAGCAAATAAAGGATTACAAAAGTATTTTAAAATGTAATTTCTATAAATAATTATTTATTTCCTGTTTGTCATATCAGCTGTTTTCAATGTTAAATTACATTTATTTTCAGACATACATTACACAATATATTCAAGTTGTATTATCAATTTCTTCGTTTTATTTTGGTCGAAATCTGATATTGAAAAAAAATAGTAAAAACTAGTAAATTTATATGTGTAGGTTTTTGAATTGCATTCTTTAAACTTGCATATTAATTCCATGAGCATTGTGACGATTTAAATATATTTTTAATTTTTTCTGTAAAAAGTAGAGAAAATTATGAAAGATTTTTTACAATCATAAATGCTATAAGAACACTATTGCAACGATATTTTACTTTATTCCAAAAACAAATCTTCCAGGGATTATAAAGAATAAGTGGAAAAATTCCGTTAAATTGAAACCGTATAACATTTAAAAGATTTCTTTTACACAATATAACTACAATAAATGAACCGACCTCATTTTCATCTTTATGAATACGTACAGTTGTATAGTCTATAAAATTGTTTTAAATGGCTAAAGGTATGTTTTTCTATGTTATTTATAAGTCAAATATAAGGGCATGCTTTTTGCTTTTAATTATAATTATACTTACCAATATTTATTATTTCGGTAGTACGTTTAATAGACAGAGAAGATTCTAAAACGAAAAAAGTTTAGTTTTTAAACAATACGATATTTTATATGGAACCCTCGACAGCTCACGCAGTAGTATATATTACTTTTGACCAAAAACACAAATTTGTTATGATTAATAAAAGCAGTTATATTTTTATGAGGTAATACAACTAAATTAAAGATTTATATTCCTTTTGAATCTAATTGAGAAAAGCTCTATTGCTTTAAAATTTGAACGAATGTTAAGCATTCGTGTGATACATATGCATTTGTTTTGTAAAATTTGAAAATGTTAACCCCATTCTGTATTGTCTATAGAATCTAATTGTTATGTAAATATTATATATACTACATGTAAGAGCTAAACCATAATTCCAGCTAAACAATTCCTCATTCTATAAAGTTTTATCCTGTGGAAATACCCAGGGAATACTTAAATAGGCAAGATTGAGATAAAATGCATCCAGAGTTATCATACACCAGACATTAAGGATTTCAATAATTTAAATGGCAGATTATTGTATTTGCTGATAATTTGGCAGTGTTTAAAAGTATAAAGGTGAAAAATTAATTTTTTATATACTTTTCATATAAGTTTCTAAAGCACTTTTATCAAAGTAATAATTTTATCATATCACACAATAGTACTTGAAAAAAAATATCTACATCATATAAAAACTAGAATGCTACGGATAATCAGAGAAAAATAATTGCCACATTTGAAAATATTCATCGCAAATACATTTTGTCGCATTGGGTAATCCATTTCACCTGCGTATCTTGAATCATGCTTAATATTACTTTCAAAAAAATACTAGAAAGCATCTTAAAATAATTTGGATATACAATTAAAGAATACATGTACCTATCGTTGGAAGACATCCAGTAACATGATTGCAGTTAGAATTGGAACAATTACACAGATAAGTACACCTAAATCCATATGATGGAAAAGGACATAGAGAAGAACATTCTGAACCAAAATAACCAAGTGGACACGCTAGGAAAAGAACAAAATGTTTTATTAATATTTTGTAAGAAAACAAACTAATATATTAATATTTTTTGAAAGTTAAGATATTTTTTAAACATCTACAGTTATGCAAAGTTAAACTTATTTATTTGATAGCATGAAAAATATACATGGAGATTATAAAGATTTGTCGATCGATAAAGAAATTACAAACAATATAAATTTATGAATAGGGCATAAACAAAGAAAAAAAAATACTGAGGTAAGAGACACTGGTATTTGTCAGAAAGAAAGTTCAGAATAAACCAAAAATACCTTGACATGTGTAATTTACTTTGTGGTAGTGGTAACAACATCTCTGGTTAGCATCCACGAGTAATCTGTGTTAAAACAGTTAATTTCCACATATTTGATTGATTGATTGATTGTACACTGTTTAACGTCCCTCTCCAGAATATATCACATATATGTGATTTATCACAAAATGCAAAATTTATTTAAATTAATTATGCGTTTCATATTACACAAGTGCATTAAACTTACCCCTGAGAACAGGTGTTTACTCCTGAAAATTTAAAATTTTGAAAGTAAAGGCTGTATATCGTTATTTTACGTTAACTTGAAGAAGGATATGGAGATAACGAACAGTATTCAATCTCAAACTCCATAAAACAATACAAAATAAGAGCAGAGCAAACACGGACCCCCGAAACATCAGAGGTTGGATCAGGTACCATGGAGGAGTGAGCATCCCCTGCCGACCGGTCACATCCGCCGTGTGCTTCTTGTCATGATCAGGAAATAACGAAAAAAATTCAGTGTATTAATAATGGATTAACAATTGGTATGAAAAACGTCAGTCAGCATTAGACTCAATGATAAATTGTATTTGCTGACAAGAAATTTATGCCTATTCTTATTATATCATTTGCTGGTAATTGTCAAAATCATACATATATACATGTATTTCATGTGCATTGTTTCAGTGCTCTACACCTACTAGCAGGTTTGCAGATACCTGATCAGACATCAATCAATTACCTGTGTACAAAACTAATTTGGATTGCAACTACATATACAGGAGTCAGGTTATGTGTACTTTGAAAAAATATAGAAATATGGGTTAGAAATTTAGTTCTCACCCTTATCCTCGTCTGGACATCCATAAGTAGGATTGCATTCATTAGGTTCACAGTCACATATCTTTCCACATAATTTACCATATAAAGGTGGTGGACACCTTAGCATACACTTAAGTCCAAAATATCCAGGCGGACAATCTGCATGATATAATTTTTATTGGCCTAGATACTCGTATATTCATTTATGCAATTATTTCAATCGTTTCTTTCAATTTTTCTCAAGTGTCATAACCATAAAATGATTTAAATTAAATCACGTGTTCTTACCTTCACATACATCTCCAACCTTATAATAATTTGTATTACAATCTTCCACTGCAAATCTACAGATAAGCATGCATTTTTTCTAGATCAAGAAATAAAGAAATCGACTGACTAAATATTTATAGTATCGTGAAAGTAACAATCTTATACATTATGTAAATATATTTTCTTTTCATTTCTAACCACAAAACATATGCTTGTACCATTAAAAGAATATTCTTCTTCTTCCGGTACAGTGCAGTACCTTTTGTGCATCATCGCAATTTGACTTAAAAATCTTTTTTAAAATAAATAAAACCACACTTACGTAATTCTGTAGATGGATATGGTCATGAATATTCCATAAATAAAGAAATGTTGCATAAAATGTTGCTTAAATGCCATATCCAAATGACAAATAATATAATGAAGGAAATGAATGTGAATTCATCAGTTTAAATTTTCCACAAGGAAATTTATTTTTCAAGCATTACCCAATAATTAGGCTAAACTATTTTAGATTTATATATCAATAAATGTGCCCTGATACACTTTAGCTGCTGAATAATATGTTCATATGAACCCGAGGCACATTTACATCTTTGTTCTGCAGCAATTCAAATCAAAACGAGGATATTTGAGTGTAGAGCAATTATAACAAATCCAAGATGAACTTTATCAGATTTTACAATAACAGAATGGAACAGAAGTTGGGGTCCAACAATATGCCAAAGGAAATTAGTAAAAGTAGATTGTAAAATAATAAAAATACATATCGACGACTGAGGGGTGGAGTTGGGTAAAACTTGTAAACCAAATTTCAGAGCCGAATGTCGTGATAAGGAGGAGAATAATAGCCGTAGCTAGAAGGCGCTTAAACATAAAACACGTAAAAAATTCTACAAGACCCAAAATTTACACAATTTCAATACAAAATATTGATACATGTAAGTAAAAACAACATAATCTTGTAGGATTTTTATTGTTTAATTCATTTTAACTTATTTTGGGGATATATTAGAGGATCTCTTCAGTTACTGTACTCAGGCTTGTTTAGAAAAAAAAAACCTTGATGAGGGCCACAAAGATATTCTTGTCTACCCCTCTTCAAAAGTGGCGATCGGTAGAATAACCCCCCAAGAATCTTACTAGGTGCGTGTCTCTAAATCCCCCCTTTCAAATAAAAAAAAATATTTCAGCTTATAATCGTACATTATAGCAAATACATGGTGAAGAAGCTTCCTTCAGTGAATCTCGAGTAAAGTGAAGATTCATTAGAATTCCCGCCTCCGCAAAGTTAATTTAAAAATACTATTTTCTGTCTTCTCTCTCGAAAATATTCATATATTTCTATCGATAAAACTATATATTTATTTTTCATATCGACAAATCTAGATCGATTTGATTGAAAATCTTGTTTCGATCGATATTTGAAAATAAATAAAATACGGTAAAATAAAAATAAAAATAATGTTAATATAACTTAAAGCAATAAAATCTTCTGAACAAGAAATGTTGCCTTGAAATCTCTGAAACATCCTGATACATTTAAAAATTCGGTACATGTATAAAAAAAAGAGTTCTGATTTTACATTTTATAATATTTTGTCAAGTGACTCTCCTTTAAAAAAGGACTGCAATACGTGTACCATATGCATGTGTTTCTAACCGAAATTCAATTAAAAAAATTTCCAGGTATAGTGAAAATTCATATAGGTTCATTCACGATTTCTATATCAATATGCCTACTTTGACTTTCATAGCAAAATTGTTACATTTTATCTCCCATTGGCCTTTAGTTTTGTCATTTGAATAAATCGGGCTATTTTGATACATGTTACTCATAACGGCTGGCTTGGACTTGACACCTGTTCTGGATTTATCCTGGCGTATTGATTTTTCGACCTATTTAGATGTAATTTATTAATTAATTGCAAACTTTAAAGAAGCTGAAAAACTATAGGCTTAAAATGTTAGCATATGCGTCTATGAATAAAATTATACAACCCAAATTGCAGTTTTGTGTTAATTTTATTTATATGCAATAATATGGAGAGGGTGCATTTTTACCTATCAAAATATTAGCGTCTTGTGTTTTCGACCTAAACATAGTATCAATGACCAAACAGTATTGGCTTTAAATATCCGTTGGATATTCCAAACAATAAAAATATATTTGTCTGTCTTTCAAAAAAAACATTGAACAAGTTCGATATTTCAGTTGCAAATACATTTATTCGTTGGTTGAACCCATTTGTCAGGAGCTATGCATTTCCAAATGAAATCAATGAAATTACGTTGCATTTTTCAGTAAAAATCTGTAAGAAAGTGCCCATTTCTAAGGGAGAAACAAAATTCGTTTGATCCACCCATTCATTTCAATATTCATGCGTCTCTTTGACAGAGATCTTAATTTTCTTTTGGGAAAATGTCATCAAAAAATCTTTGTAATTAACCGATTACGGCTTTGATTAATCAACAGATAAAATGTGCATTAGTAAAAAGACTATAATTTCTGACATCGGACTAAAACCACGGAGGGAATTCCGTTGAATGAATTATTTTGGGTATTTTCACTACAGTTGTGCTTGAAAGGTATTTTTCCAAGAGTATCAACCGAAAATAATGTTCTACCGCACGGTATCTGCACGGGAAACAGATTGAGAAAAATAGGTCGAAAATACAATACGGTCGAAAATAGGATACGAGACGATATATGGAAGAAATTTATCATGGGAAAGATAGATCTGATGGTACATGTGTAGTAAAGCTCTCTAGTAGGCAGATTTTTTTAAGTCCCCCCCTCTTCCACATGGACATTTAAAACCGTTGCTGCAGACCTGTATCAAGCACATGAATAGCACATGTTATGTATTGTTAACGTTTTGCTCCATCTTTATGATGTCACGATGTGGAAATGATGTCAATATGAAGGTGCTTTGTTTGTGACAAAGAATGCTTCTCTCAATCGTACAATTGTTAACTCAACGAACGGTTGTAAAGTTAATCTTGGATATTCCTTCGATTAACATATTATGTAGGTGCTCTGTTTGTGACAAAGAATGGTTCACCCAACCGTACGATTGTAAACTCAATAAACATTGTTAAATGTAGCGTATATCTTGGATATTCTATTGCAATAACATATAATATGTATACATAATATAAATACAAAGGTGTTTATGCGTTAAATTACTGTAAACGTATTACATTTGGCAGTGTATTCTTCTTAGCGATTTTGTCGGAAAGAAGTTTCGCTTATTTTTGTATAAATTTCTTGCACATATATTAATAAGAACAATAAGAAATGCACTAATTCAAATGTACGCCTACTTGTTCAAAATTAGTTTTCCGACAAATATCGTACATACATAATATAATACATTTGCAGTATCTTGCAATCCAATAGATTGATCATCGTCATGATATCAAAACTCTGACAGTAATTTCTCATTTTTACATGGACTTGACTTAGCAAATTCACGTGCTATTAGCCCTGAGTCTGTCTCTATTTGTCCCGCCCTTCAAAAGCTTTTTTTTTGCCACGCCAATCATAGAGCCAGTAGGTTTATGTAGAAATAAAGTATTTCAACTAAGAGGTTTTTCTTGGACAATTTTAAAATGTAAATATTAATGTTTACAATGCTTAATACACAAAAGACTTGCCAGAAAATTAATCATTAATTGATTGATGGTCCGAAAGATAGTTAAAACTGATGTTTGGTCTCTTATCAAGTGAAAGCAAGCTTGAAAGAGATGTGACCTTAGTTGAGCCATTGGTAATGAAAGATTGCAAAGTAGAGCTAAAAATATAGTTGAATATCTTATTAATAATATAATTCTTAAATTACTATATATAATATCGTTTACTTAAGACTTTAAATACATCAGGTATGATCAAAAGAATGCGCCCATTCTATATCCACATTGGATAAACAACGTTACTACGACAGAGGACTCGGGTTGTGATGTTCACCATACTAGTGCTCTTTCTGGGAAATGATATCCTGATCCATCCATCCTATTTCCAAGATTAGGCCATTTCTGACAAATGGATTTTTCCTGTTATAAAAAATAACTTAAAGAAATTAACCTCTCTGACAAAATATTTTTTCGGTTATGAACATGATGCTACGGAGCAAGTCACGTGACCGCCAGGAGCACTAGATTCGTGCATTACCACGACAGTGGAAGATTTGCATTAAAATCGTACAAGACTAGTTAAAAAATAACGAACACTGAAGCCTAATTTTGATTGTTTGATTGAAGTTATTCAATCAATTCGCGAATTTGTTGATCATCGTTCGTATATATAATTTCTGTATATAAAAGTTATTTATTTCAGAATCCATACAAAATGTTTCGTAATTAAAAAGAAAAGAAATAATGTCCTCACGTTACAGCTTTTGAAAGACCGTGATTTTTACAACAATATTCGACATATCCTTTCTTTAAAGGATTTTGAAGCTCTTTTACATTATTTAAATTTCGTTTCTCGGCCTTCTTCAAATCGTTGTTTCATAGGTCGATGAAACTCCTCTCTCTTTTCAATAATTAGATTTTCTTCAAAACTTTTGAACATATCTTCTCTGTTGAACAACAAAAATACTTGCATTTATATATCTCGTAAATAATGTACATTAAAAGCAGACAACATACTGTTGTACCGATTGAAAAAGTGATGGTGAGTTTGCGAATTTCAGAATCTGTTGAACTCCTCCAAGGTGTGCAATTTTTGCCTGTAATTATCATATACCTTGGGGAGATCAACTAATGTTTTGTACAAATTAACACAATTTTTCCAGAGTGATCTCATTGATCTGATGTTTGTTTTGATTATCTTACGTCATATATACATGTATAATAAATGACAAATTCATCCATCAAACTTTGTGTTTGTGTTACTTTAATATTGATGTGCTAGGTCTACATAAGATTATAGGTGTGTGCAAAAAACTAGCTTCAATGAACTTGTTAAATTAGTTGAATTACACTGGAGAACATAAAACTGCATTATTGTAAATAATAGCATTTATGTACTCATGTAATGAAGCTTTGAGTTGGTACTTTTAACTGGTTAATCAATCCGTTTTTATCCGTGTTTTAATTTTTTGTCAATATTTGAGCGATCGATAAGGGGTAATTTTATCGACCAATCAAAAGAGACAGTAAATGTAAATTCTATGTCACTATTTGTTTTGATTAGAACGCAGTAAGAAAGGTTTTCCAAGTGTTGCCCACCAACCACCCCTATCATTATTCCACCTTTGTACTGCTAAATGAATACGTACATTGTAATGAAAAAAAAATAAATGCACAAAAACCTTTGAAAGATACTTTTTTGTTTGTATTTTAATATGTTTAGATTTTGGCAGTTTTTGTCTGCCACCTTGTTTGCTGATTGTTATTTTTTAGATTCTGGATTGTTTATTTTGATTTTCTTGATGTAATATGTTACACTGGGGAGATCAACTAATGTTTTGTACAAATCTACACATTTTTTCCAGAGTGATCTCCCCCTTTATCTGATGTTTGTTTTGATTATCTTTCGTCATTTATACATGTATAATAAATGACAAATTCATCCATCAAACTTTGTGTTTGTGTTACTTCAATATAGATGTGATATGGTCTACAGAAGTTTATAGGTGTGTGCAAAAAACTAGCTTCAATGAACTTGTTGAATTAGTTGAATTACACTGGAGAACATAAATCTTATTATGAACAGATGTGCTTATTAAAGAAGCCTTTTATTTTCATAATGTGCATATTTAAGATTATTTTCAGATATCTTATCAACCGATTAGTATTTGTTTTAACGCAAAAAACTCCCTGATTTACATCAGAACAGGACGTATCTTGTTGTTTCCGACATCCATTCTTTAAATCACATTCTTCAAGCAAGCAATCACAATTTCTTTCACATAATATTCCATACGTGTTTTCTGGACAACGAACAAGACAATTTTCCCCAAAATAACCCGGGGGACATACTACAAGAAACATTTTAGTACAGAAGAAACATTTTCCCATAATTTTTTCATTAACTGTTTTATAATCACACAATACGAAGACAGTTTTTTAAAATGATTTCAAAATTAATACAATTCAGCGATTATTTCTAATAAATGCTTTCATATTGTGTTATAAAATATCTTTTGAATTTAAACATTATTATTAAATAAGGTACCTAGACAGGTATTTCCAACCCATTGATAATTTGCAGGACAGTCTTTAATACCAACTCTAAAGTTCAAAAGAAAGTGCATATATGAATTAGTCTAAGTTATTTTTCGACTTATTTGACAAAATTTTTCATCAATCCTAAAATCAAAACTTACACCAGTTTTGAGAAAATCATGTCACTGAATATGAAAGTCAATCCAGTCCAGAAGCTATATGAAGCCATTGTTTTTTTTTGTTTTTTTTTAAACGAACAACCTTCAAAACACATCAAATACAATATAATTAACGTGAACACAGGGTCAAGGAAATACAGTCTAGGTTTCGTAATAAAACTAGAATCGATTTTGTGATTTATCTAATTATTCGACCACTTATTCTCAACTTATATTTTAAAAGTACACGTACATACTTACTTAAATATTCAGCACTTTTAGACCGAATAATGTGTCATTTTTGAGTTTTGTTGGGAATTAAAACTAGTTGGTCAAGTGATCAAATCCCATAAAGCCTTTCTTTTACTCAATTTAATTTGACTGATTTATTCATATATAGGTACTAAAGTTTTAAATCCATAAATATTTTTTTAACACACAACATAATAAATTGAATGTGTTGAACACGTCAATCACTTCTGACGTCACTATGAAATAACGTAGACCATTTTTGACCAAAAAAGCAATTAATGGTCACATGGCGGACGTGTTTTTCACAGATGGGTGTAAAACGTCTTGATCAAATAGTGTTATTTTAGGACAAACATTGGCGAATGTAAATATTCAATAATATTTGTGCATCATCTTCATTTGGTGTTTGGATCTTCTAACTTAGGCACTAAGTTAGAGTAAGTATGCTCCAAATATGACCATAAAGCAATGCAGGCTATTAACAGATAAGTTTATGTTACAGAAATGTAACAAAACATCTTTTATATGTGCTATCGTCGTTATGATTCTTAGCAAATGTATCCTTTTATTGGGTTGTATTTTTTCGGATTTGTTTAACACCAAACCTTAGGAATTTTTTTCTATAATGGACTATGGGATATTCGGTCTACTGGATCAATAATCAGATCTCTCTGCGGATGTGACATTACCAGGGGATGCTTACTCTTCAAGACACCTGGTCCCACCTCTGGAATTTCTTGGTACCCAAATTAGCAGATTTTAAGTACTGTTCCGTGTAAGAGTCAGACAGGGTCCCATGCAGGGGTTACACACTTTAATTTTTTAATCTATTTATTTCTTCTCAATTGTCATTCAAATTAAACATATTTAAATATTTGAATAAGAAAAAGATCATTTCTTTTGTATATTTGTGTTATTTACACTCGAGGTATATTGATAGATTTGGATAAATTCCTATATAATATCATATAAAATCACCCTTTTTGTATCAATAAAACACAGAAAAACTTTATAATATATAGTTTTCCATGATAAAAATATTTTCACCTTAGTATATGCTTTTATTTATAATTCTTGATTTTTTTGTGTTTTCTTCATGCTGACAAGTATACAGCTTCCAAAGTTAAGCCCCTTCCTCACATTTAACTATAAGAGTTATCTGTCATTTCCTATAGTGCAACAGGTGCATGGATGCATCCATTGAAAAATGTTCCATCAGTGTTTATACTTCAAATTGCTGTTCCTTTTCACCTTTGCATCCATCATGATCAGAAATTAATTTGATTAGATTAAAAGACTGTAAGAGAGGTATTGTATCACATCTGTTGATAAAAAGGATTCGATCTGGCATGAAAGGAGAGGCTGATGTGTTCAGTGAAGCAGACCTAATATGTGAGCGTGTGGGACTTTTCACTGTTGAGGAAACATTTACGGTACGTCCCTATCACAGAGACTTCCTTGGTGTACATTGGCGTGCCAAGACCACTTGTCAGTATCCTAACCAGCAAGGAGATGCCAAGCCGTATCTGAGTTTCAACTCTCTTATGTCTAAGCGGATGGTTTCGGGGTTTGTTACTTTAGTGCCTATAGGTTCTGGTAAGTTAGATTTATATTCCCTCAGAAAATTTAATTAGAATTAAATCTAAATTTAAAAAAAATACACACGATGTAAGAGTTTAATATCTTAGGGGGGAGGGTGTCTCTATATCAGTATATGTGTAATGCAGTGATTTTTACTATAAAATCCTATTTTTTATTTCAGCTTTTGATATAATGATGCAGTGGTCATAATTTTTTTATACCCCTCGCTTGAAAAGCGGGAGGGTATATAGTAATCATTAATTCCGTCCGTCTGTCCATCCGTCTATCCGTCCTTTCGTCTGTTACGCTTTGGGGTACCCATCTCTTATCCGCAACTCCTCTCATACCACTGAATGAAGTTTGATGAAACTTTCACAAAATCTTTATTACATATTGCCATTGTGCACCTCCTATTTTACTTTTTGATCCGACACATATTTTGGGTTTCCCGGCCACAGCAAAACATGAACTTTGCCATTACATCGATATGGAGGCGGGGGGTATCATTTAGTGAGCTCATCGCTCACAGTACCTCTTGTTTTTCTAAAGATGCTTAATGGAAATAATTTCATTGTCTTTTGAAGTAATCATGGTAATAAATTAATAAAATGTGATAACTTATAAAAAAAATCACGGTTGTCAAATTATACACATATAAATTTACTAGTATGGTTCAGTGGGTGTTCTCTGATATTTAAAATCCCAAAATGTATTTATATAATTAATGTTTACAAGTTTTACAAATAGATTCTTTTAAATAAATGACTAAAGTATGCTTGTATAGATATAAATATAAACATACTGTACAATTTTTTTGATTTAATCAGCTCATGTTTTTTTTTTTTTAGTTTTTGATGATAATATTTAGACGCCAAAGCATTTTAGACCCAGTCTAAGAGGTAGTCTCATGTCCTAGGCCTGTACACTACAGTAGAAGTTTTTATAATCAGTAGTCAGTACGTACACAGAATAACCTATGCCGGGTTTAAGTTTGATTCCAAAATTTCGATATACTTCTACTTAAATAAAAAAGTTTTCAGATTTGATTTGCTGTTATAAATATCTTAATTTTATTTTCGTATTTTTGCATTCACTAATACAAATTTTCTTCTGGATAAACATATATTCAAGAATGCAAATACCGAAACGAAGAATAAAACGTCATACTTTCATTCTTTCTGATTCTTTATCACCATTCCTTCAGCTGATTTATTCTGTTTCACACCATCCTCAACATTAATTTTAACAAAATCTGCGTAAACATTTTCACTGGTGTCACAATCTCTTGGAGAACTTTTAGTCACAAATCGACGTCGACATATTAGGATCTCGTACAATATATATAATATGAGCATGCATATTATACTTATTCCTATTAAAAGAATGATTGTTGTCTTTGAATGGTACACACTGGCGGAATGCAAAGTATTACCTTTGAAATCGTAACTTGTAGTCAATCTGGGTGTCTGATCTGACACTAAAATAAATATAATTATTGAGATAATAATATTTATAACAATACACTTCATCTAGAATGTCAGGTTTTTGATTTTTTAACTTCTCAAGTTCAAACTCAATTTTTATTGAAAAAAAAGATGATGTCAGAAAGAATGAACTCCATTTTTTTGTTGGCAATATGCATTACCCCCCGACTTCATAATTACTTGACAAAAAATTAAATAAAAATATCGTGTCATGGATATCAATGTGTTCATAATTTTTCTTTATAACACAAGAGCATAGTTTGGGATTTCAGGAAATTGCTTGAATTGTGATACTAAAACACTAATCAACAAAAATTTCTCTCTTACATCGGAATATTATTACCACAATATTTTTTAACTCATGAAGGGATAAAGAAATGTTAAAGCATTTTATAATGTCATTTCTATAAATGTTTTTTTATTTCCGGTTTGTCATAACAGCTGTTATATAATACATAATATATTGCACTTTAACTATATGACTTTCGTCATTTTAGTTTGGTTGAAATCTGATACTTAAATATTTAAAAGTTTTATTTTTGTAGGTTTTTTCATTCCATGTGCATTTTATTACAATATATATTTAAAAAAAATGATGCTGTAAAATATGCATTCCAATTTCTATTAACTCTATTCTATTATTTATTTGCTGAGAAAATTTTAGTACGTTTTATTAACAAATAGACCACCAATACAACGATACATTACCTTATTTTAAACTCGACGGTTAAACAGAGAGTGAATGGACTAACGTTGTTAAATCAAAAAGTTTAACGTGTTTAAAGTACATCAAGATGTTTTCACATTATAATTAGCTTAATTCTAGCATAACCTCTTTCATATTGAATTATTCTATAAATTGTTTTTATCATTGTTATATGATATGTTTCTATGTTCTTTTTGATAAAATATGAGAACATAATATTATACTTACCAATATCAATTGACTGTGTTGAACGTTTCATAGGTTGAGAAGATTCTAAAACAAAAAGATTGTTTTTCTAATACTGAATGCTTATGTAATAACACGTAGCAGTAAACGGCTTTTTCCGAATACATGAATAGTTTGTTGACTAGCAGTGTTTTACTTAAGCTTTAGAAGCTCAAGCTTTTCTTCAAAATTTCATTACTGTAAGAAATTTCAACACAATATAAAAAGGCCAAAGAATGCTAGAAAAAATTTTTGCTACATTTAAAAGTATCACTTTCAAAAACAAGAGATAATCTTAAAATCATGTGTATATAAATTGAAAAATATACAATACCTGTCGTTAGGAGACACCCGTTCACATGATTGCAATAGAAGTCGGAACAAGAACACCGATGAGCACACCTAAATCCATATGTTGGATAGGGGCATCTGGTAGAACAGTCTGAATTAAAATAACCAGGAGGACAAGCTAAAAAAAAAACATAATGCTATTAAATATGCTAGAAAAAAAAACTATTTTATGAAAAATTCTAGAAAGTACAAATATTGTTTCGTAGATTTATGCAAAGTAAAACTTATCAATCGCACTTTCCAATATGAAATAAAAATAACGATAAATAATAGCCATCACCTTGAAAAAAGTTAAATAAAAATAGGGCATAAACACTGATTAAAAAATCCAGAGGTATGAGACACCGGTACAGTAACACTCGTTTAGTACAAACACAGATATTGCGAATTCACGGATAAATATATATAAAACAAATTCGTAATAAGGATATAGCGACGTAATTTTAAAGGTAACAGTGACTTCATTATAACCAGGTATTACTCTACTAGTTTTACAGAATTTTTTCAGAATAAGCCAACGATACCTTGACAAGTGTTATTTACTTTATGGAAGTTGTAACAACATTTCTGGTTTGTCTCCCTGAGCTGTCTGCATTAAAACAGTAAATTGTCAACAGTAAATTGTCAGAATAAATATAATGACTAATATAATGTAATTTATCAAAAGATGAATTTATTCTTACTACTCATACAGTTAAGATCAGAAAATTGCATGTACAGTGAAACTTACCCAACAGAACAGGCGTCTGCTCCTGAAAATATCATACTTTGAAAATAAACGCTGTTTATCGTTATTTTACGTATATCTTGAAAACTTATTTGCGCCTATTTTAAATGGACCAATATACTTGTCAGAATAAAACATACATATATTCTTTATGTGCATATAGTTTTAGTGCTTTTAACATTTTTACTGGTTTCAGACACGAACAGAGATCACCTGCGTGCAAAAAATACAAATCGCGATTGTGACTCCAGAATTCAGTACCTAAGAATATTATTAGATTATGCATTCGAAATATAGTTCTTACCCTTTTCTTTGTTGGGACATCCATGAGTATAATCACATTCACTAGTTGCACAGTCACATGTCCCTCCACATAATTTACCATATGTTGGTGGTGGACACCTCTGCTTACACTCAAGTCCAAAATATCCTGGCTGACATTCTGCATGATATAATTTTTATTGGCCTAGATATTTCATATACAAAGAAGTTTTTGAATTGTTTAATTCATTGTTCTTCTGTGTCATAACCATGAAATGCTTTAAAATCAAGTGTTAATTACCTCTACACTCGTTTCCAACCTTCTGAAAATTCGAACTACAACCTTCTGCACCAAATCTACCGGTAAGAATGCATTTTTTTCAAGATCAAGATATCATGATATTAACTGCCCATAGATTTATGATATTTATGATATTATAAAATTCAGATTTAAATGAATCATTAGAATTTATAATAAAAAAGATTTTAAAAAATAGGTTTTTTAAAATCAAAAATCACACCTACGTAACTCTGTAGATGGATATAGTTATGAATATTCTCAAAATAAAGAAATTTTGCATGAAATGTTGCCTCGCAATCATGTCCAAACAGCAAATAATATGATGAAGGAAATGAATCTTAATTTATCAGATTTAAATTTGTCACAAGGAAATTAATTTTGAAGTATTGTGCGATATAAATGTTCATGTATGGGTTATATTGTCAAACATTTATATATCATAAAATACTAAGTATGCCCTGATGTACTGCAACTAATAAATACATGTAATTCATTTCAAAAGAACCTGCAGCACATTTGTAACTTATTTCTGTAGCTATTCAAATAATAAAGAGGATATTTGTTAATACAGTTATTATTACAAAATAAAAATGAAAGAATAAATTTTAAATTTTCAGAATGCAGCAGAAGATGGGGACAAACAATATGCCACTTATTCTTATAAAGAAAAGAAATGTGCATTTTTAAAAATAATAATACGTAGGGAGAAATGAGAGGACGGAGGAGGATAAAACTTGTAAACCAACTTTGGGAGTCTAAAGTTATTTTGAAAAGAATAGGAACAGCCTTAACTAATGGACACTTTTAGGCCACAAACCGAGAATGCTTTCAAGACCCATGAATTCACACGAAATAGTGATAAATAAAAATAACACAATCCTGTAGTCGTTCATATTAAATACATTCATTAATATTCATGAATACACATATTTTATGTTGCGTTTTATATATTGAAACCTCTAAATGTCAGGAATTTTGCCTTTAAGCATATATATCATTTGACTGAAAATAAAGGTTTTATAAAATTGCATTGGACTTCAGGACTTAATTGGAGCTGTTACAAAAAAACTGATTTCCTCCTCCCAGAAAAAAGTAAAATAACATATTTTGAATTCATTATCATTAAGAAAATGAAAAAAAAAATGAAAAAAAATATGAAAAACTATTAACATTTTTATTTCATTCCTACAATATGTTTCTTTTGAAACTACGACACGCTATAATAGCAATGAAATATTATTGGAAAAATGTTTAGTTGTAACCTGATTTTAGGGGATTTCAAAGAGAAAGATATTTATTAGAAAATTTATCTATATTTGTATATTACAGAAAACTTTGACAAGAAAGCATTAACACTTTTAAAATGCTCTATTGTCAAGGTGCAATTGAATAAAAACCATTCAATTGTACATGTACCTTGAAAAGAGAGTATTTGTAAAGTTGTAAATTTCCTTCAATATGTTTGTGTGTGTGTTATTTATTGTCCCGCTCAAGAATTTTCACTCATACATGTATGGAGACGCCAAAATATCTTAAACCAACGGTTCAATTTTCTTTATTTTTACACATTTTATTCTAGGACCCATTTGAATCATTCTGTTGATTTTTTGTAAAAATTGAATGATACATTTTCTCTTAAGAAAACTTAAACTGTCAGATATTTACATGTGAATTTTCAGTTTCAGTTACAATGTATGTTCTATTTTACTTAATATTTTACCCAAATTTTCCAGTATCAATGTAACTTACTGATTTAAAGTAACAAAAAGGTTATCTTTATTGAAAGTATTACACAAATTTGCAATAGATCAATTGAAAATTCTAAAATAAGGCTCATTCTCAAGTCGAATGTCTGATTTCGCAATCTTTTTCCAGGGGTCTGATAGGCCATATTTCAGACTATGTGGGCAAAAAATGTGCGGTTGAATTTCTTTCATATCATTATAAAGAGAGATTTTGTATCCAAGAACATAATATCAAAGTTTCAGAAAAATTGAATTTGAGGAAAATTTTGACCTATCTATTTGGTCCTACCTTAATTGACCGATAACAATGCCGTTGAGCATGCGTAGAACAATAGGGACTTTGTTGTTCAAAAAAGCAAATTTGCTTTTAAATTTGACAAGAATATTAAAAAAAAAATATCAACTGCAAAACCAAATTTTGATTGTTTTATGAAAAATTTTCAATTAGTTCGCGATCTTTTTGTTCACCCTTCATACATGTACATGTAAATATCATCAATGTTATCGAAGATATGATCAATAAAAATAATGATTTTTAGAATCCATACAAAATGTTTTTGAAAAAAAGATTCATAAAAATAGCATGATATTCACGTTACAGCTTTTACAACAATTCTTGCATATAATTCTTTAAAGCAATTTGAACTTCATGTAAAGTTTTCAAATTTCTTTTTTTTTTCGGTCTACCCAAAGGCATTGCTTGATAGGTCGATGATACTCCTCTTTTCTCTCAATAATTAGATATTCTTCAAAACTGTTGAACACATCTTCTTTCTTGTACAGCAAAAATACTTGAGATAACGTATCTCGTAAATAATATACATAATAAGCAGACAACATACTACTGCACCAATAATTGAAATAGTGAAGGCACGTTTGCGAATTTCAGCATCTGTTGAGCTCATCCAAGGGGTGCAATTTTGGCCTGTAATTATCATGAATCTAGTGGTATAACAAGTTTGCCTATTTAAAAAAAAGCTTACATTCAATGACAAGCATGTTTTAGATTTTTTAAGATAATCACTAACTGATAAGTTTTTGTTTTAAATCAATAAATACTTCCTTGATCTACATCAAAACAGGGCTTACCTCGTGGTTCGCGACATCCATCCTTGAAATCACATTCTTCGGGCAAGCAATCGCAAATTCCCGCACATAATTTTCCATACATCTTTTCTGGACAAGGAACAAGAAAGTTTTTCCCAAAATAACCCTAGGGACATTCTACATAAAAAAAATCAGTACACAAGACACATTTTCTCATAAAATTTTTATGAACTGTTTTATAAAAACACTTAACTTCAAATTTAATATATTAGCAAGTTTTTACTAAATACTATCGAATTGCGCTAGGTTATCAACATTAGAATAAAACAATATTGAATTAGAAACCTAGGCAGGCGCTTCCAACTCTTTGATAATTTGAAGGACAGTCTTCAAAACCAACTCTAAAATTCAAAGGAAAATACATAAATAATAAGTCGTAGTTAATCATCGACATTTAAAAAAAATTCTATGAATTCTAAATCAAAACTCACACCAGTTTTGAGAAAAGCATATTACGGATTATGAAAGTCAATTCAGTCCAGAAGATATTTAAAGCCATTGGTATTTAAAAAAGAAACAACCTTCAAAACAAATTTAATGTTATAAACTTAAACCCAATGATCAAGGAAATACAATCAATTTTTTGATTTTCCTGTAATTATGCAACCACTTATTCTCAACTTATAACCTAAAGTACATTCTATTTCAACTTAAAATTCAGCACTTTTAAAATTTCCGTTGCAGAAATTACAAAAAATCTTTTTGATATACAGTTATGATGTAATTTTAAGAAAATGTAACCTTTCATTTGGTTGTATTTTGTCTGATTTGCTTTATACCAATTGTTAGGTTTTTTTTTTATCAAAAAGTTACATGTCAAGTTACATAATAAGATTTTTAAACACATTCACACTACCCCTCTGATTTAAAAAAAAAGAATGAAATATTAAATAAACAGTATTTCATTCAAGAAATATGTCAAATTTGTGTTTCAATAAATGTTTATAACTCAAAAATATTCATCCACGGTGACCATAGATTTTAAAAATTGTTCATTATAATTTTTTGAATTGCTATGCATTTTTCTACTTTGTACTTAAAAGTTAAATGATGTAGCAGCCCATTAATCATAGGTATCTTGTTCTCCTTTAAACAAGAGAAAATATATTGTTTTGTATATAAAATAATGATATTTATCACCAAATTATAATAAGAAATGGCATTTCACCTAAAATAATATTGCAAGTGTTAAATCCAACTCTTTTAGAAGGTTTTGTAAATATGTGCATGCTAAGATTACTCCAAAGTGAAGAATTGTTGTACAATACAAATATATATCGGTATTGTTTTCATATCCTGTTTACAAACGCAAACATTAGACGAATGAAATCTATTTCCAAAATCAATGACATTAAAAAAAATTCCTTCATTGTCTAAGAAATCACAAACACGTTTAACACCATTTATATACCAAGATTTTTCATAAATAAATTGTTTCCCATTTTACATTGGGATTGCACCACACAGGTAAGTTCAGATATTTAGTTTTCATATATGAAGTGTTGTTGAGTGTTTTCATGAAACATAACCATGAATTAAACACATCTTTCTAAAAATTGTTGCTATTTTTTAAAATAAAGCAAGACAAAAACTCTTCACCAAAATCAAAAGCTTTATGTAATATGTCTTTACCATTAATTGCCAAAAAATATCTAACCATGGTTGATTGCTTTTTGTTTATCTTTTAATCCAGGAGCATTTAAGAGATGTGATAAAGTTATTTATATCCACATTTTTAATACTCCTTGTAAAAAATCCTGAGTAATAATTTTCCTTTTAATTTTATCACATTTTGATTTCCATATAAACTCAAAGATTTCTTTGTTCAATAGTGATAAAAAATCTTTAATTGGATTTGGTAAAGATATAAAAAGATTGTAAAGTTTGGGTAAAACTAATGATTTAAGAACTATAACTCTGCAAATAGGAGTAAGAACCATTTTTTTTCCATTGTTGAATTAATGCTTTGATCTTTGGTATGTGAACATTGTAGTTTATATCAATAATTTTATCTAGTTCTATTGAAAAATTAATTCCAAGTAAATTGAACGTTGTACAACCCCATTCAAGTTTCCAACGAGAATGGTGGAAACCCTGATTTGAGAATTTTTTTGAACCTATCCAAACAATTTTAGTTTTTGAGCTGTTTATTTTAAGTCCTGTAAACTTTGAGAAAAAATCTATTGTATCTAATGCTGCAAAAAGTGATTTAGGTGAACCGTCGAGGGCAAGCCAGGTATCATCCTCATATTGGGATATTTTATGTTCTATTTTGTCAATAACAATTCCTTTAATGCTTTGATTTTGTTTGATCATAATTGCAAGAATTTCTGCACAAAGGAGAAGCAGACATGGTGCAACAGGATCTCCCAGACAACATCCTCTTTGGATATAAAACTGTTCGGATAAAATTCCACATTGAAGTACAGATACACAAAATTTTGTATTTAGAATCTTTACCCATTCAATAATGTTTTTACCGAACCCAAAAAATTCTAATACTTTATACACAAAGGTCAAGGATATTGAATCAAAAGCCTTATCGAAGTCTATAAGTACAAGCAATCCTGGTATATTTCTAGATTCAGTGTAATCAATAAGATCATAAAGAAATCTGGTATTTTCACCTATATATCTTCCTTTTAAAAAGAAAATGAGTATTTGATATGATATTGTCCAGGGTGGATCTTATGCTATAACTAATACAACCTGATAAAAGTTTATAAAACACATTTAAATGTGTAAAAGTTCGCCAATTTTTCAAAAAGTCTTCTCTTGGCACATCACCTTTTGGTAAGCAGGTAATTAACCCTAATCTTTGAGAAATGGGAAGTTCTTTCTTCTGAAATATGTTATTTATAGCAAGTACTATAAAATGTTTTAAATCTAAACAAAAAAATTTTAAAAATTCCGCTGTAAAGCGATCACTTCCTGGTGACTTGTTTTTCATGTTTTTTGACACCTCTAAGACTTTATTTTCCTAAATTTTTCCATCACGTCTTTTGGCAACATGATTTTCAAGTTTTGGAACCTGAGTAACTTTGATAATTTCTGCAAGATCTATGTCGAGCAGTTCTGCATCTACAGCAGTGTAAAGAGATTTGTAATACATCCTGATTTTATTTAAAATTTCTGACTGATTGTAAATAGTTTCATTTTCCTCTGTTTTAATCTTTTTTATTATCGTATTCAAATAATTACGGGATTCTAATTTACAAAAATATTGAGATGGTTTTTCTCTATCTTCAACCCATCTGGCTCGGGATCTTATAATATGACCTTGTAACTTTTCTTTTCTGAAATTCTCAAGATCTGTTTTTTTCGCCTGTATCAAATGTAGATTTAATGTATTTTCTGCCTCTAATTTTTCTATTTGTGCAATTACAAAGGCCTCTTCTTTATTTTTTCTTTCTTTCTATATGATGAATATGTAATAGTAATGCCTCTAATCTCCATTAGAAGGACTTCAAGAATTGTATTTTTATCAATATTTTCTATAATCACACATCAGATAAGTCGATGTATTCTTTGATGTTATTGAATTTTCCTTAAAGGTTGGAATAAAAAAAAAACAACTTGTTTTTAAATTGATATAAAATATTTTGATTATATGATACATATCTCAAAATTTGTAATCACTCATAAGGTTTGTTTTTATATATCAAGTGTAAAATAAACATGTCTTTATGATATAACATCCAAGTACTTAAAATCTCTTCTATTGTTTCTTTTTAAGTACTTAGCTAACTCGGGAAGATTTCCTTGTTCCTCATCAGCGATCGGAAGTCCGGAAATAGTTGTCCTATCATGATAAGCGCTACTATTTGGCGTGTAAATTACTATCTCCATCATCAAACGAATCACTTCAAATCTGCGACAAGTGCTTATAGTTTCAACTTACTGAGCACAAAGACTTACCTGTCTAATATCTGAACGTACTCAACGTAATTGTATTCATTCAATGTTATTTGCTTATTGTTATGTAATTTTCTCGAGAAACTTGATTTATACTACACAGCTATTCTAATTGTGGGTAAAATATATTATGAACGTATCATAAAGCATACAATGTTTATTAAATAGCAATTCAACATGTCTGATACTATTTTGACTTTAAATTACTTTGTCAATAATCATTCTACATATTTCATTCATGTATCATGTTTAGCTGTTTCTTCTCCACTTAAATAATAATCTAAACCATTTTTTTGCATATATAAATATTAACATATATCAAAGTGTACAGTTCTTTAAAACTAATGTATAATTCCTGATGAAATTTACGATGAATCATCAGAATTAATTGATGATAAATTCTACAGGTTCATTAAGACGTAATTTATGTATTCTCATATCTAAGAGAACGGTATACACGAATTCGACAAATACTGAGTCACCTTGAAATCTGATAATTATACGGTATATAATAAACATCACCAGAGTAAGTATTAGAAAAAATTAAAAGTTCACTCAGAAGTCTGATACTGTATAATTTTAGGGTACAATAAGCTTGAGCTAGCACATGCTTTATAACCTCAATAAACATAAACATAAGTGGCGAGGGACCGGAAGGATGTCATAAATGCACTTAAAATAAATATTCTTAGTCTGTTTTTAATCTCTTATCAACATGGGCATTCACCTGGATCTACTCGCCTTTATTCTGATGTTGGAATACATTTCAGGTTTGTCGTTAAGATCAATATTGTTTGCCAACTTTTGCCTCTAAATACAAATATTTAGTTTTTTGTATAAAAAGACAATAGATTAGATATTTGAAAGTGTTTTTGGGAAAGAAGATTATTTCTCATGAAAAAAAAATTCGGTTGCTTTTACCAGTTTTCGTTCAAGAAATTATCCACATAACTTGCATGTAATCATACAATACTTTTCAAAAAGTTAATTTTTGATCATTAATTTTTAAATATAATTGAAATCTTATCGTAAAACAGTTGACGGATTGAAATGTTTGAAATGTAACACTGTCCAGCATGGATCTCTTTGCGGACCTGATGCCACTTTTCTGAAGACCAACTCCTCCATGATAGAAGAATGTCACGTGACATGTAGAGTCAGTAAAATCACAGCACCCAGTGGAAACAAAGGTTCGTTTGTTTTGTTTTTCTTGCATATTGCTGCATTCAGGAGTGGCTTTCAAATAATTTTTTAAATATTAAGCTTTTAATGATTTTCTTGCGAAAAAACATTTTAAAATAACCCCATAAAACCTTCATACGTTAAACAAACAGAATTAAATTGTACTTATGAATGGCGTTAAATTGTTAAATAAAACTGAGAATTTACTGAGTTTAAAATCTATTAATTATCTGAATTTGGACAGTTTAACTTGTACTAACTTCGATTCATACCAGTTTATTTTTAAGATTAAAGTGTGAAGCATAAGCCGATATTTCGTGTAAATTATCCAGTTACACTGTAAAAGTAAAAGAAAACTATCTTCATGTAGTTCTTATAACAAAAAGATAACAAATTTTTCATTTTTTTAACTTATAAATAACTACTATTTTTCAACAAGACAGGTAGTTGGACAATATTTCAATTCAATGAACTATTGTTTGTTCACTTTTAATTTTCAAATAGAAAAAGTTAACAATTATTTTTAATTTTTAGTATTTCCCAACCTTCATTTTATAGTTTCCTTGATCGCCTTGGTTATCTACCGCTATATATTACACGTATTTCCATCGTAGTACTATTTATTCATCATCCATTGATGATCGTCATTATTGATTGATTGCATATTGTTTAACGTCCCTCTCGAGAATTTTGACTCATATGGGAACGCCACCACTTGCCGATGAAGAGCTGCAAATTTTATCCTTAACTCAACACTCAGGGTCGTTTAACAGGGAGGGATCTTTTTCGTGCCAGCACCTCCTGCGACACGGGGCCTCCATTTATACGGTCTTATCCAAAGGACTGGTCTCCACATCTCAAAATTGGATTCAAACCCGCGACGTCAAGATCAACTCCCTACTTTGCGACTCGAGGGCAGACGCTTGAATCACTGCACCACGCGGGCGACGATAACAAATTGAATATTCTCAGGTTCTTCGGATTAATTACGATCAATTAATAAGTTTCAAATTTAATTCATACCAACATTTAAATTACCTTCGTACATTGTTTGAGATAAAATTTGAAATATAATTCACATTTTCAGACATAACGGAGGTTTTAAAATGGAAGTATAAACACTCGTACTGTTTGTTTTCTTCAAAAATGTAGTTTTACAAAAGCAACTTTGTTTGCAAGCATCTATTTAATAACAGGCGTTACGAAAATTGTTTGCATTAACCGTTGTTATTATGTCAATACATCTGTCAGAAATAATTATTTATAGCTAAGTAGATATTTTGCAACGAATATAAATCAAGTATACGTTATTATCTTTTTTTAAACAGTGTACCTGCGAGGCTGTTCAAATACAAAGAAAACTGGGTGTGTATCACGAAACTTCACATCATTTGGAAACAAAAAACTTCCGGGTCATCTCTGTCAGTGTAACCTTGACCTTTGCAATACGGACTTCAACGTTGAAAGCAAGAGTCGTCCAATTGTAAAAGAGCCTTTGCGTGTCCCTATTTCAGATCAGACTTCTATCAGAACAACAAAGAATGGAGCAAAAATGTCGACGCCATTCTCTTTAATAATTTTATTTTTTATCGCAAACCTTCTTATTGATGGGGTAGCATGACATATATGTTACAATTTTTTTTTATACTGCTTTTGTTTTGTCAATTATACAATATCACTTATATAGTGTTAACATCAAGTAAAGTCTTTCTTTTGAATAAAGAATAATATTTTTCGTCTTATTTTTTGTACTTTGTTTTTGTTTTTGCACGTCAAATTAATGACCTAAAACAAAAAAATAATAATAATTGAAAAGTCTAAAAAGTTAAAGTTTTTCTTTATTGTTGAATTCCTTTTTGTTGAAAGATATTAAACTTTCTTAATAGAGATTGTTCTATCTGACGTATCCGTATAAGTATCCGTATCCGTATCCGTATCGAGATATGAAAGGCATCACGATCCCGATGTCTTAACAATCTGGTTACATTTCCATCGTTTCATGTTTGATTTTTAACCTCATTCACTAAAAAATGATATGCAGTGTGATATTTTTAATAAAAAACATATCAGTTAATGTACACGCCTTATGCATCATGTTTTGGGGGGAGAAGGGGAGGGGGTAAAAGTTTAAAAATAAAATTAGAAAAACAAGCATGATTTGAATTATTATTATCTCTCTCTCTCTTTTAAGGTATTCATTCTTCATTCTGAAATTAACATTAATATTTACAAGAATTTTACATGACATATCCCCAATAATATATAATTATATATACAGTTAAACCTCTTTATCTCAAACTTGTAAATTGATTGTAAAAACATGTAATTGTACATAAACTGGGAAAGATTTCACCATATTGCAAAACAAATGTGTATGATAATGGGGGATTTACTGAAAACGTCCATCCTCTTTTCCTTTTTTATCATCTTCTATGCCATTAATTATAACGTATTTGATGGTCATAGTTCTCCAGAAAAAAATTGGATAGCTGGTAATTCTGGGGCGGGTTTAAATACACTCCCTAAATTGTAGGTCGATAGCCGTATCATGGGCGTCGCAGGCAAACAGTGGGGGACGTTAATTGAAAGGGGGTGGGCTAAACCCACAAAAAAGGTAAACCCCACTTTTAAATGCCTATATTATGTCTAATGTCTATCTTTGCAAGAAAGTGGGGGGGGGTTTATTTTTTTCTTGGCTACATTGAAGCAGTTCCTTCTCTTCACTGTGCACAATGATCTCGATCTCGGCCAAATTGTATATATAAATAAAAAAGAAAGTCGGATAAAAAAGAGAAGAAAATTAGCACGATGGACAAGTAGACTTAGCAAAAGAAGATGTATTATTTAGAAAATTTTGAGCCATATTTATTTTGATCTTAGCATAAAAGAAGATTTTAGATTATATTTTTTGAATACCATATTCTGAAATAGTTTTTATATCAAACCACGAATGATGTTAATGAATGATAGTCAAAAGACGTTATCAAATGTCGTGTGTGCACATTGTGAGGCACAGACGCCGGAACGGGGGGGGGGACTGCAGGCGTAGGATAAGCTCCCTTTCCACTTTCAAAAGGCATGTTGTATTGCAGTCAAAGAAGAGTAAGTGGTAGTGTTAAAAAAAGGGCAATGAAAAAAGTTCGACCCCCTCTCCTCCTCCCCCCCCCCTGCACACACACAAAATAGTGTTTAAGTACTTTTTTTTGCATGTCAGGGTTTTTCAGGACTTATATTTTTTTCTTTCAATTACCCCCCTCCCTACTTTCAATTTGCTTCTGACGCCAATGTGAGGGGAGGGAAAAGGAGGGCTCAGGCTCTTCAATGCATATACTTAATACTTGTAACGGTCCTGAAGCGAATTATGAAATCAGTTTGAATAGTCTCTTTAAAAACGGCTACAGTGTTTTATCAATCGCGTTGATGATAACGTATTTTGTATTTCAGTGTGTGTGAGGGGGGGGGGGGGGGGGGGGGGGGGGGGGTACCGTTATACCGTGTAAAGGTATATGACAAATTCAGAATATATATATAAAATATCCTGATATTAAGCGAGAGGAAAAAGAGAAAGGAAATGCCATATACGACAGCCAACTGCTTACTGCCAACTGCTGACTGCTTACTGCCAACTGCCACACATATTTGAATAAATTTTAAATTTATACTGATAATTGTATGAATTTTCAAAAAAAAAAAAGAGGCGCGGATCCAGGACATTTTTTTCCAAGAGGTCACCTTGGTAAAATTAAATTTACTAAATGTCCATGTTTTAATTCATGTAATATTCAATATATGCCACTGATAAAGTACATTGTTTATTTTTATTTTCTTATTTGAAATAGGTAATAAAACGACTATTTCCTGCTTTTAATCTTAAAAGAAGTAACACCCCCACCCCCACCTCTACCCCCCAACCCCGGAGACAACAAAACCTTTAAAGAGAGAAAATAAAAAAAAAAAAAAAGATTTATCGTTTCGCAGATAAAGATGTGTTGAAAATAAATTTATATTTTCCATTATATTCTAAAGTTAAGAATTTCCTCAAATTAAAGATGTACATCTCTATGTATAATAATGTTTTACATGCAAATATCTTGGGGGTGAGGTGGGGGGGCATTTAAAATTTGTACAGTGATGGGTTAATGTATAAACTAAACGAACTAAAACTGATCTTAAACCCTCCACGTAGAAAACGCCGATCAAACATTTATATCTCTTTGTTTTTACAAATAAGATATGTTTTACATGCATAGATCTATAGAGAGAGGTCCGGACCACCCCTCTGAAATTTGTAAAGTTATTTAATGCACAAACTAAACCAACTAAAAATTATTCAATGTATAAAATAAATCAACTAAAAGGGACCTTAGAACTCTTCAGAACTTTTTTAACATGAGTGACCCTATTTGAAAAATGATCTAGATCCGCACCCTTTTTTTAAGTCACATAAGTATCAATATAAAAATAAAATTTATTCATATATGTGAGGCAGTTAGCAGTAAGCAGCTGACAGTTGGCAGTAAGCAGTCAGCAGTTGGCAGTAAGCAGTTGGCTGTCGTATATGGCATTCCATCCAAAGGAGATTTCCTACAAATATTTTGAAACAAAATGAATTTAATTTTAAAACAAAATAATTAAAATGAAATATTTTATACTTGAATTTATTTATTCATTTTCTTTTTTTTTCATAAATATTTTTCTACGAAATGATAGAGGTTTACAGCAGTTTAAAATTTTTAATAGAAAAATTGCCATTTTCTATTTTCCAATGCATGACCGTGGCTTATTTAACCACAAACAGAGACGGAAATGGTATTAAATGGTTGAGACATCGGGATCGAGATGCCTTTCATATCTCGATATGGATACGGATACGTCAGATAGAACAATCTCTAATGAAATGAAATCAAATGAAATATTTGAGGAAACGAACAGTAATCCAGTCCAAAAGTCTATTCAAAGGAAACAACACAGGAGCAGAACAAACAAGAACCTCCAAAAAAATCGTTTATAAGCCGTTATCTAATTTTTTGTCAACTGGAATCAGAAAACTATTTATAAAAATTTCCGTCATAGATTTCCTACAGCTGTTTGATATAGCATTTTTTTTCCATTTATACTATATATAGGTAAAATATCGTTTTTGCCACAAATCAAGTCATTCTCTGTTCCGTCCCCTTTGACTTCCTTAATATAAGTATCCATGTGTGTTTATGAGAACAAGTTGTTGATCTCATCTTAAGCATTTTATTTATTTTTATTGCTTTTATTTCCGTTGTAACACATGCCTGTCTAAGTAGAGTCTCAGATGTGCTGAAATTATTTCATAACAGAATATTGTAATTATTCTGTATAATATGATATTGTGTATTTACTCTAATAGTGTACAAAAAAGAAGAATACAAATGTTACGATTATTCTTCTTAATTACATCCAAGGCATATGTATTTTATCTAAAAATAACCCCAGTGTTATCCAGCTGAGAGGCTTTTTAAACTCAATTTTTTTCTCTAATTCTGGGGTACATTTAGTTGTTTTATATCCTTTGAACGAATTTGCCATCATGAAGCCATCTATTACGAATAATGCAATTACGAATCTCGTAGGATATATAAAATATGAGTATACAACAAACAATTGTTCCTATTGTTATGATGACTGCTCTCTTTGTAGATGTGGTTGCTTTCAAGTTTTCCTTACATTTCATCGATTCTTCATCCTGAGTTGAATTTCCTAAATAAACGAAAATATGAGTCTAAAATCTTTTAATTAAAAAAAAAAACACCAGAATAATAATAATATTTTATTTATGGTTTCCGTTTCCCATTCGATCACCGAGCAATGACTTTTTAAAACGTTTTAAATATACACCTTTCATCAAATACTTCGAATCCATAATTATATGGATAATGACCAAGCAATTATTAAATTTCCATTCTATGCACATTTTTTTGCATAATAGTTATGAAAACATTGATTAGTTTTATGTTTTTACGTTCTAATTTAGAATTGTTTACTTGGTACCCAGAAACGTCGTAATATACCTGTTGCCAAAAAAATATTTTTTTCTCGAGGCTCAGTGCAGTGGATCTTCATCCTTTCATCGCTAACCTTGATACGAGCCTTGGTTTTCGATGTGTGTCTCATCAGAGATAAAATAATGGTTTTTTAATGTCTCATCAGAGCTCGAAATACAGGTAACTTTCACCTCAAATTATCGTGCTCAAAAAACAGTCACTAGCTATTCGATTGGGCTGAAATCGATAACAATCCGAGCACGGAACAAGCAACTCTAACGCCTTATTTACAAGGGGGGTCATTTATAATTATAAGCGTTCAAAAAATTTATGTGTACTACAATTCTCCCGTAAATTAAAATCACAAAAGATCCTTTCTTTTTGTATTCAAAGACAGCATTTCTATTATTGTCATCAATACCATGCATATTTTCGGTCGGCAGGAGTGCGCTCACTCCTTCATGGCATATGATCCCTTCTCTGATTTTATGGAGGTTCGTGTTAGCTCTTCTTTTATTTTGTATTGTTTTATGGACTTTTAATATTGAATACTGCTCGTTATCTCCATATGTTTTATTCTTCACCCTAAGAATATGATATTAAGATTGTACCTTGCTGTTTAAGACACCCGACCTTATGATCACAATCTTTAGGTAAACAGTCACAATATCCGCCACATCGTGCCCCAAAAGTTTTCTCTGGACACATTTTAGCACAGTTGTCTCCATAAAATCCATCTGGACATTCTATTAAAAGTCATTACTATTTTCAAACATAAGGAAATTCAAGCAAATATAATATTTACAATATAAATGCTTTAAAGGTGTAAAAAGGATTAGTTTAAAAATGTATTACCTCCACATGTTCCATTTATGCTGGAAAGACCAGCTTGACAAATTTCTCCTCCAGCTCTGAAAATACGAGAAAATATGAGAAATGATTCGTGTATAATATACCCCCCCCCCTTTTTTTTTTTTTTTTTTTTTTTTTACAAATGTTGTTTTGACTATTCACCATCTTTTCGTTAACAGATTCAATATTAAAATATTGGAAGGTTTTATTTCAATTTTTTTTATACTTACACGTAAAGAAAGTTTGTAGATAATATTCGAACAACACTGGCACCACAGAACACAACAAATAAAAAACAACAGTCCAACATTTTCTTGAATAAATAATACCCCATAAAACTAAGCATACAGTTACTGTATAGATTATGTATTCATGTTAATCAAGTGCGTAGTGTAAGGAATTTACTTCCTGAAAATATATGTGCTTAGCTAAAATATTAATTTTCCATGTCAGTTTAATATGTAACAATTATGTTCTCATTAGATTATATTTTAATGTATTCCCTTCAGAAAACTTTTCAAATGTGAAATCTAAACAGAACAAGATGTGTTTGTGAAACACTATGCACCTGGCGGCAACAAATTAAAAAAAACATATTTTTAGCATAAAGGTCACTGTGAAGGTCACAAGACCATTGATCTTGAAGTCATTTGAAAGATCTTGATTAGTGATGTATGCATACCAAATATGAAGTCTCTATCTTTCATGGTTCAAAAGTTATGGTGAAGGTTCAAAAAAGCTATTTTTAGAATATGACACAGTCAAGGTCACAAGATCATCGGTTTTGCTGTCATTTGAAAGATCTTGATTAGTTAGGTATGCATACTAAATATGAAGTCTCTATCTTCCATGGTTCAAAAGTTATCGTGAAGGTTCAAAAAAGCTATTTTTAGCATATAAGACACAGTCAAGGTCACAAGGTCATTGATCTTGGTGTCATTTGAAAGAACTTCATTAGTGGAGTATGCATGCTAAATATGAAGTCTCTATCTTTTATGGTTCAAAAGTTATGGCAAAGGTCAAAGTTTGCGTTAAAACCTCTATTTTTAGCATATAGGTCACAGTCAAGGTCATAAGGTCATTGACCTTGGTGTCATTTGAAAGACCTTCATTAGTAGAGTAAGCATACCAAATATAAAGTCTCTATTATTCAGTTCAAAAGTTATAGCGAAGGTTAAAGTTTGCAGACAAACAGACAAACAGACAAACAGACAGACAGACAGACAGACAGACAGGACAAAAACAATGTACGCCTCGGATCTTTCGATCCGGGCGCATAAAAATCGAATTTTGTCAAAACGAACTTATATTTCTTTCCTCCACACCTCCTTATAAAGCCTTGTGCATGTATTCAGACGTTTTACAAGCATTGTGACGTCATGTATAGTACAATGTTTATGCCATGGCTTCATGGTTTCAAACGCAGAAATGTTACTAAGTCTGTCATTCTGAATTGGCTAGTTTTGGACTCCAAATGTTAAAAGTACGTTGCGGGATAAACGAAATACAAAATATTTGGGCTTGGGTCAAAACGTAAGAAGGCTCAGCAAGTCTTTCCTTCTATCACGTTTTCTTACCTTCGCAAAAATATTGCTTATAGTTCAAGACAGTATTTTATTTCAAACCCGATCTTCATATCGTCTAAAGTTTTTGCTATATTTATTGTCAGGTCTTAGAAAATAGCCATTAAGTTCTTTTGCATGTTCATTATACTTGCCTAAATCATACGATAGGTGATACATGTATCTCACTACATGTTATCAATATTTTGGGAATAGTTTAGGCATGCAAAGCTCATTTTGATGCATAGACTCTGGTTTTTATTTTGATGGCATACAAGTGGAAACCTGTATGGTTAATGGTAAATGTTTGCATGTATACCTCAAAGATACTGTAACATTGTGTCAACGACCACAATGTTACTCCTATTGAACCTTTGAACGATTTATGTTGAAAATATAAGAAAACAAATTCATTATAACTAAAACAAATCTTGATACGCAAATAATATTTATGTTTATTGTTTAATATAAAATATTTACCATGGCCAATACATGTAGGCGGTGTCGCATTTGTTTGATGACGTTCCATTAAAATATCCTTGCTTCTGACGATATCCGTCCATTTATATTACATGTACCTCAATGCATTATCCTTGACGAGATGCCTTTATTTCAAATACTGACCAAACAAATCCTCTTTATATCATTTTTAAATTTCTTAAATTACTGAGTTCAAAACACAATACTGAGTTTGAAAACAGATTTTTTCCTTAGATGTAGATCCTCAGTTGTCTTAAATTCTATTTTCAATTTAAAATAAAGTATTCTGAACTAATTTTGTCTCAGTATGACATCCAGTTTTGATACTCTTCAAACTAGGACTATATAAAGATTGCTAAAAATAAAATAATTACATGTATACATGTAACTCCTTCAATGATATGATTAAACTACGAAGTTTTCTGAAATTTATATTTAATTTACTACATTATCTTACAGAACTGATAAAATGAGGTACAAATTAAAAAAAAAATGTTACATCATAAGATTGATATTATCAAGTCGGGTTTATCAGCTTAACTAGGTATGTAGCATCACACCGCTGAATTATATTGATTATTTGATGACATTGCTCATCTCGTTTCCTTTGAACTCACTGTAAAAAAAATTCGTAATTCATGACACGTTTTCACCCCCTGAAACCGATGGTTTTTATTATTTTCAATGTTTTTCTTATCTGCTATTTAGTCTCCTATAAGTTTTATGTAACGTAGAAGAAGTATTTTAATACAAGTGCTCAACTATGAAAATCATAAAACATGGAGAGAACAGTAACTCAGGAATTTATTTGCATTTAAATCTTTAAACACATCTTCCACATTATCCACTTCCTTTTGACAAACTAAAGAGGGGGAATTGATGATATCTAATAAACAAAACTTTGCAAAGATCAACAACATATCTGACAAGCTCTGTAACATACACCAAAACATCACATTCTGTAGATTTAACCACTTAGTTTTAAAAATGTATATTCGATTTACTATATAATCTTACAGCAATGATTAAAAGAGGTACAAATTGCAAAATGTTACGTCAAATGAAAATGTGTTTTTGAAGGCGGGTTAATTTGCTTTACTAGGCATGTAACATCAAACCATTGAATCAAATTAAATCTTTGCTGTCTGATGTTCATGACAGATTTCCTTTGAACTCATTGTTAAAATTATTGTTTTCGTAATTCATGACGAGTTTTCACCCATGGAACCTATGGTTTTATCATTGCCGATGTATTTTATATCTGATATTCTCTAATAAATTTCATGTAACATAGAAGACGAGTATGTGCTCAACTACAAAAATCATAGAACTTGTAAAGAACAACAACTCAGGAAGTATTTGTACTTTAATCTTTAAAGATATCTTCCACATTTTCTACTTCCTGTTTGACAAACTAAAAAGAGGGAATTGAGGATATCTAATAAAAATAACTTTTCAAAGATATTATATCTGACAAGTACTGCAACATACACAAAATAACACACCCTGCGTTTATTTAGTTAGAATAAACTTAGTACTTTCATATTTCATGTCGTATGTTTCTGGCAAAACTGGTCGTTATTATCATTATATTGTTGTTGTTCATTTCTGCGTAATTTTTTTCCTCATTGTTATCACCGTATACAACTAGTTACGCGGGGGAGTTGCTAAAAAGCTAGGGGGAGTCGTTTTCAACGTATGGGGGAGTCGATTTTCACCGCATCGGAGTCAGAAGAGATTTGGGTCACGTGTTTTTTTCGATATATGTAAGATGTATTTACAAAAAACAACTAGCCCACGGAAGGTAGCAATGGTAAAGCTTTCTGATGGTCATTTGTCCGGCTAGCATATACGTTTAGTTTTCTCAAAAACTTCGAAACAATTCGACAGATTTCATATTTAAGCTGATCGAATGGTTAAAACATGCATAGTTTGCACAATCTAGAAGTTGTGTAGGGATTATGACAGTTAAAACAGCAAACGCAAACGTTAATCTTTCAAATGCAACTATTCAAACTTGACTAGACTTTATTAAAATTAATAATTAAGACATTTTCTCTTCAGACAGTAATGGTTACGTAGGGGGGAGTCATTTGTGGAAAAACACAACGCATACGGGAGTCGCAAAATAAAGTGAAATGCATACCTAACTGGTGTTGTTTTTAGTTCAGGTAAATATCAGCAATATACATGAACAATTTATTTTCCACCGCCTTTCTGGTGTTATTTATATTTGTGTCCAAATCGTTCGTGGCATGTGAGTTTTCTTTATCAGTACTATTTTTCTCCCTGAATGCTACCAAAAATAAATAGATAAATAAATAACAAAGTGTGTAGTTCAGCCAGAACAAAAGACCTGATTTAATCTAAAATTCAGGCAATTAAGGTACATTGATACTCTGATAAGAGAGATAACTCTTAATGACAAAAATGTCTATTATTCCTTTAAAAATTTGTCAAGTTGAAGTGCCCTTTTTGTCAAATTTTGCCTGTCCGCAAGCCATGATAAAATTGTTGTATTTTATTTAGCATATAATTTTCTTTTGGAAAATCATAAAAATTAAGACACATTTTATATGAGTAAGCAGAGGGTTTATGAACCTTAAATTGATTACAACGCGTCTGTAATTTCATGAAGAATACAACATAAATAAATTTGTATTTACTTTTGACTTGTTGTACTATAAAACAACCCTTTTCATTGTGACAACGCGAAATCGAACAATTTCACTTTAATCCACATGATTTCCCATACTCTGGATATATACACTTCTTACCACACTTGCCTCCAAAATAACCTGCTTGGCATCCTTTATGAAAAAAACATGCTTTTAGTTGTGCACAAAATATAATTATTATTATAATTTTTAAAAACCTCATTTTTACAATTGAGTAAGAAAGTCGCCAATTAATTCAAATTTATATTACTATATATTTTAATGTATCATTAGAGAAACTAATCATTTGATAATTATTGAACTTTTTTTGATAATTTATACATAAATTTGTCACTTCGTAAATACTTTATAACTAACTTTGTTTCTATGTAAATGAAGACTAGTGCTCTTTTTAGCATTTTATATGTGTTTATTACAATAAGTTGGTTTCATTCTAATAAAAAAAGTCTCCTTTAAATTTTCAAAAGCAGATATACACGTAGAACAATTGAAAGAAATAGAATTTTTACATTTATGATTAAAAATTATTGATCATTTTTATTTCATCTTTATAAAGAAAAAAAAATATTCCCTGTAGATAATGATTCGTACCTTGGCAAATATTATTTACTCTGTAGAAGCCATAACAGCATTTGGTATCAGAGTTATTTCCGACAGGCCT